TTGAACCCCCCCCCCCCCCCCAGAACAGAAAATGTAATACATTAGCTGCAGCCCATGTGATATGTACTGTGCTGCAGGTATGTCAGACGTTAAGTGTCAATATCCCAATGCATGAATGACACGTAGTACTGTATGTTCCACTCACACGCCATACTGGAATCAACCATATGGTCCATATGCATTGTGTTTGACGTGGAATTCTTGAATTGCTGTTGTCATAACATCCTCTTGAAGAAGCAATGTATGGCAAAACGCTTTGAGGAAACATCAATGCGCCAACCACCATTTTGATGGTATCTCATCTCAAACTGCATTCAAATCATTGTGGATTCAGCATTCAAATATTGGAGGTTACATACAGAATGCCATATGTACTTCATGGCTGACTTTGTGATGTTTTTTAGCTACCATGTTTTAAATGATTAATAAAGTTTTTTCTAATTGAAGGCCTTGTTTGCATACCTTAAAAGCTTCCGCCATGTTAAATGCCTGTTTTGTTGTGTTTGTACAGTCTGTCATACTGTTGGGAGCCATGTTGTAGAGTAAAAAAAATGTTTGTGGCTTGCTGGTCAAAACAATGCCCCTGTGACTGTGGGAGGAAAAATACCCCTGGGTCAATGGGAGCAGAAATGCTGTTCCCTGTATCAATGGGAAGAATTCCCATGTCGTAGGGAGTACAAAATGTTCCAGTATCGGTGATAAGTGGGAATAAAAAAAACTGTAGTCTGAGTACTGGTAGTCAATGAGATTCTAAAAAAAAAATGCCTCTGTGTGCCAGTGATCATAGAAGGAATGTCCCAGTGATCTAGTGATGTCCCAGTGATCATAGAAGGAATGGTGCCCCATTGTTGTCAGTGTGAGGAATGGCACCCCATAGTTTCTCGTCAGTACCCGGACTATATATAGACACACACACACATACATGATATATACGGCTGCTGCTGTGCGTGTCCCCGAACACTGCTGATGCGCCCGATTGAGCCGCATCCCACGGTTTCTTTTTTTGTACAACTTTATTGAAATTTCCCAAGTGACATTTCATTCAGATCTATGGGCCGACCGCAGTGCGAACGCAGTGGTGTGAGCCGAACCCATTCATGACAAGCCAATTTGCCTTGTCTTGCATTCGGGCTGCACTGGAACATATGGCCAGCGCAGCCTAATGCAGATCGTGTGAAGCGGCCATTAAAGTTTCTGTACGCATAATAATGATTTTGCACACTAATAATGACAAACAGTGATTCCAGATATTTACTTTATTAAAAGAATTCTCCCAGCAGATCATATAATCGTGGTCACGTTACTCTGTTTAAACAGATATACTTAACACCACACACCATTCTTACTTGAATGGATATAATTACAGTTTGCTAGACTTTGTCCTTTAAGAAATAACGCAAAATAAAATGCTTTTAGAAAAAAAAAAAAACATTTGAAAAACTAAAGCGAAACAAGAAAACTAAAACATTAAAAAAATAAAATCAAGCAGCTTTTAGAAACGGCCTGCGTTCCTCAGTACAATACTCTTGCCTGGAACAATTTTAACTGCTCAATGCCATATCTCCTTTACAAAGACACTTTTTGTTGCCAACATTCTTGACTAATAATACATACACATTACAAAAAAAAGAAAAGAAAAAAAAACCTCTTTATTCCACCTTGAGCTAATCCTCTGAAACAAAATAGCCAGTTAACGTGGCTGATCCACAGTGTGGCCTTGTTATAAACACTGAAAAAAATAAGTGTTGAAATGACACCAAATTAGTTAGCTGCTATGGGCAACACCTTCCCTTATTTTCAACAGTCTTCATAAGCTTAGAACCCGTGGTTCAGCTAAAGGGAGCCTTGGTGTGCCCTTCAGATCCTGCCTTGGCCTTGCCACGTATTCTATAACATAAAGCTAATATCAAGGGAATTTTCATTTGTAGTGTACATATTTGTGCGCATGTGTAAGTGAATTAAAAAAGTGCTATGAAGGCATGTTTAAAATTCAAGGCCAACGATATCGTTCAATAAATAAAATGAAAAGTAAAAACAATAGCATTGATCCATTAAGATTTCATTTTTTTTTTTTTTTTTTGTTATATTGTTTACGTGTCAAAGATTTTCAATCATATTAAGATGTTTTCCGCTGTCAACTCTTCATTGTGTTGCGTGAATGAGTCATTTGCTCAAGTGCTCTCTGCCGAAACATGAAGGCTTAGACCTGAAATATTAACAAAAAAAAAGCGGTTTAACCACGTGTTCAGTTCCCGCAGCCCCACACACGCAAACTGCTTAGAGTAGTCAGAGATTTGTTCAGGACAGTATTGCATTCTGGGAAAACATGGATTCTTCAGTGCAAAAATGGATGTCATTGTTTCAATTCAGTATAACAAAATCAAATGCAAGTCTTTGATGAAAAGTTATGGACCATTTTCTTGCTTTTCTGGATCTTCTCCTTTTGACCTTATGTAACAATATCTCCTGTAGCACCGTGTCATTTATTCAAAGGTCCACACTTCAATGTCCTGTACAATAAAGTCTTCTTTCTTGGATAGGACGTTATTGTTGAATGTGCTGCAAGGATTACTCCGTCCGTGATATAAATCCGAATCGAGCCATAAGCCAAACCCTCCCCTGTAAGTAATTAAAAAAAGGTGAAAGGTGAGAAATAACCAAAATGAAAAAGGCATATCTTGGCATATTCTGAACCAGTCCCAAAAAATGACTACGGTATAAATTGTTACATGTTTTTTCAGCTTTATTGCACAATGTCTAGCTTTTTCAGAAAAGCACAGCAACGGCAGCCTGCATATTTTTTTCAGTGCCAGCAGTCGTATGAACTAGGTATTTGTGTCCTGGGTCCTAAATGCTGTACTGAAACGTGGTGTGCAGGCACCTAGAGGTGACCACTATACAACAGAAGCTACACATTGATATGTTTTACATTGTCATAGGTTTACTTTGTATGTGTAGCCAAAATAATTTTTAGTTTTGGATAGAGTAGGAATGCTTAAAAACCCCCATCAGGTTTTTGTTTTTTGTGGCCGTCTGTCATGCTGGAGGTATGTTTACTTCCTGCCTTAGGGACACAACAGGAACTGAGAGGAATTCCTCGTCACTGGAACATTTGTCCCCACTAGAAGATTTCTGTTCATCTCTAGCTTTCATGACATTTCTAAATTTAAAGAGGAACTTCACCCGACTAGAAAA